CTGTATAAAGTAAACATTAAAGAAAGAGTGTTATTTCAAAATGGCATCCATGAGATACTGTCTGCAGGTTGAGCACACCATGATGGGGCACTTACCTCTTGAGTGCCACCTAGCAGCCGGCGGTGAAACTGCAGTCCTTTTCTTGCCCCTCGTGCCCCCCTGCAGGTTGCCAGCCAACTTTGGCAGGTCTTCAGTGACTTGGCCCTCTGGCCGAGTTAAAGTCCAAATTAACCCCTTTGGGGTATTGAGTCCAGCAAATAAAAGTCTCTTTGCCTTTGGTAGAGTCTTCAGCCCTGCTCTGGACCCTTTAAATCCATCCCTTTGTTCGGGCTCCCAAAAAAGGTCCTATTTTGGGGTTTATGGCACTTCTCCTGTGGCCAGTAGGGGCACCCAGACCTACACACTACTCCAGGTTCCAACCCAGGAACCCTATTCTCAGCAGCCACTTACTCCTTACTTCAATCTGTCACTGCTATTTCGCTGGGCCTCTTCCTACTGGAACCATTTTATCTTTAGCCCTATCTCATGGGCAGTGTCCTAAGGTTCTTCTCTATCTCCAGGCCAGAGAGAAGCACTCTTACTCACTCCTCTGGTCCCAGCCAGGAACTGACCTGCTTTTTGCTGTTTTCTCTTTTTTTATGGCAAAGCAGATTAGACTGAATAGTCTATAGCTGCCACCAATTATAATTCCTCAGTACTTAGTGGTTTATAGTCTCTTGCACTGCCTTGTATCTTTCAAGTAATACAACACCTTTTTAAGAATACTCCTTTTCCCCAATGTTTTTACTAAATAACAATGTAACTTTTGTTACCTTAAGACATTTGAATTCCTCAGAAAGCTTTTCCCTTTCTTTATCAAAGCCCTTACCTATGCATAAAAGGTGATCAATTGTTTCTTCCACCTTATAGTGTACACGTAGTTCATCTTTGTGTCTATTTATTTGAAAAAGACTTTTGTTTAAGCCACAATGGCCCGTTAGTATTCTGAACAAAAGAACTTCATTAGTGCTATCCAGGCCCTGAAGTACATCATTATCCTCAACTCTCGGGCGCAATTCAAAAAATCTTCTTCCTCTTTTTTCACTAATTCTAATTTTTTTGCCATTCCTCTTTTAGATTTTTTGGTACTAGGCTTTTGAATTCCTGTTAACTCAAGAGTATTTCTATGTCAATCCATCCATTTCTTACAATGTCTTTAGCAGCTTTGTCCACCATTTTGTTCCCTGTTGTCCCAAAATGTGCTGGGATCCAGGTTAGTGCTACATGTATCCCTCTGTATTAACTCTGTGATTAGAAACATAATTTCATTGATCAAATCACTTCAACATACTGAGACACTCTTTTTTATTGCCAAAAAGCCTGAGATTGAATCTGAAAAAAAAATAAAAGATGCTGGAAATACATCCCAGATCCAATTTAATGCGAGCATTATTGCTACTAGTTGGACTGTCATGACAGCTATATAATCGGCTATTCTTTTCGATGTACTAATTCCCAATTTTGGCATACCTTACACCATCCCTACTCTTACTGTTTTTTCTTCTTTTTTGGACCCCTCTGTATATATTTGACAAAACTGACTCCACTTTCTAACAATATACTGTCTGATATTTTCATCATTGTAACTCCCATTAACTTTGCCCCAGAAAATTAGGTCCAGTACTTTCATTTCTAGTGTAACAGGCATTTCACTAGAAGTTATCTGTAGCGTGCATACAGGTGTTGTAATAAATGCACCACACACAATTTGTAGTGCCCAGGCTTGTGTGCAGGTGCAGGAGTGGTGTAACTAGACGATGGAGGGGCTGATTTACGTTTCTGCTCCCATGCACCATTCTGCTTCACCTTCTGGGACCTAATGTTCCTTGTAAACTGTGCTCACATGCAACTGAATAGGAAGACCGGGAGGGGCTGGAGCAGCTTGTGCAGCATCCAAGATTGCGGCAGGGAGCAGGTAGGAACCAGGAGAGAGCCAGAAGCAGCTGCACCTGGCAAGAGATATGCAAAGTGCCAAGACCTAGCTGGAGCCAGCTCCTCCTCCCTGAGTCTTACTAATCCCCCTTGCTTCCCACCCCACTCCTCCCTCTGCCCGACTCCCCCATTCAAAGTGAGCTTCTACCACCTCTGGTCATTTGGGTTGCATAGAGGTAAATCGGAGCAGAATTTTGCCTGAAGTGTTTTAATCCTTCATTTACTATACAGCAGCTTTTTAAGATAAAAGACCTAATTATCAATTCACTCAGGTGCCTTCATGCTGCTCCAATATTGTGAAGAGGCCTTCAGTTCAGTTCAGTGAGACTTTATTGGCATAGCAAGCTGGACAGGTTTTGCCAAACTGAAAGCAAGAGAGAGAGCTCTCAGGTATCTGTCCGAGGTTGGCACAACCCCTCCCAGGGTAGGATTACGCCTTGTGTTTGAGGTTGGATCCCAAATCCATTTGTCACTCTTGGTCATTCCTGATTTGGTGGCAGGTAGAGCGATCTCTGCCATCTTTCTCCCAGGGTCAAGCTCAGTTTTTCTTTGTCGCTTTTCGCTGAGACCTTTTTTTTTTCTTTTTTTATGGTTCCTGATAATATGAGGAAATATCTTTCTTGACTGAACACGGGTAGTGCCCTGAGAATGGCCCTTGTGCCAGGGGGCAGCTTGCAGACAGCTGAAGTAAGAGCTCTCTGCAAGCTTTTTTTTCCTAGCCCTCCCGCGCAGGGGACAGATTGAGGCCATGTTGAGAGCATATCCAAAATGCACTGCACTTCGGCTATCCTCTGCTTCCCAGACTATGCAGGGAATCATGGGAAGCACTGGCAAGCCACAGAATACAGGGAGAGCAAAGGTCGCTTAATGTCATTTTTGTCCCTTGCCCTCTTGTGATCGAATGGACCACTGTATTCACACCCTACATGCTATTGTAATAATCTTTGTACAAAATATGCCTTGTGAGTTATTGTCTGAAAATTAACAACTTGCTGGTCAATAAGATCATGGTGAAATGTGTCTAGCAACATTATGTATAAAATTATGGGCATAAACTGAAATTATGACTGAAATGTGGTTACCAGACAAGTTGGGGGAGGGGGCAAGAATGGAGTAACTGAGAATCAGTCCTACTCTTTTTAACTCTCTCTTATCTAGCAGAACATGTGAAAATAAGTCTGAAAAAAAAGTCATTGCCTGAAAAGGAAAAAGATTAGCCAGATCCTGGCTTTTACCATAAGATTGTTCTCCGAGCGTCATCCGCCCTAAAACCAGCCCTGATGAGCACATGGGATTTGAAACAGGAACGAGGCCCTAATGAAGTTCCCTCCAACAGACGTACTCATTCATTTGTGTTTCCTGTGACTTTTATGCTTTTGTCTCAGGGAAGCGTATTCAACTGTGAAGGAAAGCCCTGAAGGAGAAGGTATTATAAACCTAGTTCTGTGCTGTGATCCTCCATGCTGACACTGAGGGGCTCTTAATAATGGCTAAAGAATAATGACTCACATCCCTGCACACTGGCATCAATGCACCATTTCCCGGCTCACTGAAAGCTTACACTGAGGAGTGGGTTGTTTGTGTTCTTTCTTTAATATTTCACACTTCTTTTAAATGGTTTTAATTTAAGTTTTCATGATCTTGAGCAGTTTATGAAACGTGCTTTGAATCAGAAAATGGTTTTCCCTACGTAACATTTAAACAAAGGTGTCTCCTGCTTCAAATGAAGGGACTGATGCACACTAATCTTACCGTTTTACATGTTCCTTTTCAATTATGGGTGGGGAGGAACTGTGCGCTTTTAATATCCCACTTTCCTTTGGAGGTTTAACAGTGTTCTGCAGGGGACAGAATGTGACTCCCTTTGGTTTCTATCTGACCAAGGGCTGACTCAGATGGAAAGAGTGAAATGGAAAAGAAAGGAGGAACAAGATGAAGAACGAGGAGTAAGGAAATGAACAAGAGAAATGAGGGTGCTAGCGAGAAAGAAGGAGGTGTGGGTATTTTGAGGGAAGAGGGGACTAAATAAGTAAGTGCCCACAAAAACTGTCTATGCTGCTTCCTTACCCAGCAAAGGCCCCATTGGTCTGGAGATTCTGCCTCTGTCCCTGCATAGAATAGCACCACCTATTGCTAAGCTGCATTTGTACCCAGCTGCATTTGTCTAGGGTGAAGCAAGCATTGGTTATTGTATAATCCTTTTTAATTTTACACTGCTTCCTGTCTGGCTTTTTAGGGGAGTGATCCAACCCCCGTGGAAGTCAATAGAAAGACCTACTGACTTCATTGGAGCTGGATCAGGCCCTAGGAGCACAAAATAAAGTGTGAAGTTACCCTTCAGGCCCCACAGGCCATTGCACCACCCAGCAAGGTAGAGGAATTGGGGATTGCGTCCTGCTTTGATCGGGGGTGGGACTAGATGACCTCCTGTGGTCCCTTCCAACCCTGATATTCTGTGATTCTATGAAATGGAGGGGAAAAGGCAAGTATGTCTGCCTTGTTCACTGTCCGGTTCTCTCTTTTATTTCTGCCCTAACTTCTGCAGGCCACTCCTTTCTCCTCTTATTTTTCCCTTTTTCGGTGATCTCTCCTGCATAGTTGTACTTGTCAACTTCTTCAGGTACTCCATTTCTCCTTTAGTCACTACTGGCCTCTGCAGTCTGTCCCATCCATTGTTTTCATATCACCTAAGACTAACCCCACTCATTCGCTACAGATTGTTCTTTTTCATGGTTTTTGGTCTTTCCGTAGTAATGGGTTCAAGACTTTTCCTCCCACTTGCAGAGTCTACATTCAATGGAACTATGATAGTTCACAATAACTGAGGACCTGCCTCTCTGTGACTCGGATCCTCATCTGTAAAATGCAGGCAACACTTTTATCTCCCATCCTTTGGCTGTTTCAGGTATAAGCTCTCCAGCACAAGAAGAGTCTCATACTATGAGTTTGTACACTGCCTACCAGGCTGCAGCCCTGATCTCAGTTGAGGCCTCTTGGTTTTACCATAAAACAAACAACAAGAACGGTAGTAAGCCTTTCATGTTCTTTATGACTATAACTAAATTTCACCTGATGTGAGCCATAAGAATGTAACTTTACAGATGCTGCAGTGGAATAATCAAACACCTCAATTGAAAAATAAAATATGGAGGGTTTTTGGTTAAACATAAAAGGGATGGCTGGTTACAAGTGGCAATGAAGTTATGATAGATACAAGAGACAGTTGACAATTTCTTCTCGCTCCCCTGCCACCATTTTGCTGTAGAAATACTGCAATGTAGTTCTAATGCTGCTTTATTGAATACAGATTTGCATAAATTGGAAGTCATCTAGCAAAACAGGGCGGTTTATAGGCCCTTATTTGACTTCTGTGTGCAGCTATGCATTTAGCTAAACCTTGCCCACAAGTCAGGATATAACTGAGTACATTTTCAATTAGATTTATAATACATGCCCTGTTAGCTGAATAAAAGACACAAGACAAATTTACATAATGTCCATATAGGTCTTTTTGTTAATGAATCAAGTCCTAATTTAAGAGCACTATTAATACGTTAGTAATCAAAGAGCAAACACGACTAGTGAACATATCTCTGTAGAGCAGTTGTTTGGATCTATTTCCTACTGTCAGCATCAGTCCACATCCAATAGTCATAATTAACATGTTAACTTTAAATTTTAACAAATTTAAATGTAATAAAATACTTTTATTAAATGCTACAATTCCTTGAAACCCAATAATTACTTGTCTCTGATGTATAAATAGCCAATGTATTGTCTTCATGCAGAATGTGTTTTTGCATCCTACGGTACAGGTAAAGTGAGTTCTTGAAGCAAGGGCCTGGATGAAGTAGAAGCTGATGGTCTTAAAGTCTGAAGAACAAGACCATACCGTTTATAGCTATGCAATGTTTATCAAGCACCCGAGGTCCTGATCCGAAGACGTGAATTTTGGATTAGGCCTATGGAATGAAAGTACAAATAAATGTCAGTGTATTAATTAATACCTGTTGTGTCTGGGCTAACTCCTGCCTTGATCAGGAATACTGGTACAGTGGGTAGAGCAGTGTTGGGTCTCAGGTGGCTGGGAGCTCCTGAAATCAAAGTATTTAGGTACCATAAAAGTATGAGCTTGCATGATCCTGTTTGCACCACTAGCATTAAGGGTGTGAACCTCTGAGCATGCTTAGTAGATGGGATCCCCTACAAAATCCATCTGGATAATGCTTAGCCCTGTGGTTAGAGCACTCACCTGGGACATGTGAAACTCAGCTTTGAGTCCCCTATCTCTGGCACAGGGGGAGAATGGATTTGCACAGGGATCTCCCAGCACTTAAGAGGGTGTGCTAACCGCTGAGCTACGAGTTATTCAGATGTGAGGGGAAACCCTCAGTATCTCCTGTTGAAGCTGTTCCAATCACTCTTTCGTTATTTATCCAAGAGCACAGGGGCTGAACTCAGGGTCTCCCACCTCTCTGTTGCATGCTCTGACCACTGGTCAGTCTTCTGCCCTCAAGCTACCAGCAGAGCAATCATTGGGCCAGAGAACACTCACTTCTGTTAGATGAGTTTTACGGTTTTAAAAATTAACATTAGGCATCTTTCTTCACTCCTTGGGGCAGAAAGGCCTGAGAAGAAGCACTCCATAAAGCAGGAAGGCCCCAGGACATTCAGGGCTTTGTAGGTCAAAACCAACAGTTGAAACTCCACCTGAAGGCCAATGAGCCTCGTTTAGATAATGGAGTACTGGCATCATGCCCTCAAGTGGGATACTCCACCTGACAAGCTTCATCTTCTTGATTAATGGATTTTGTGTGCAGCCCTCAGAGCTAGAGTCTACATGCCTTGGGGAATCTAACTAGACCCCCAAGTTTTGCATTTTGTGAACAAACATGGGCCAGATGCATCCAATCAAGAGAGCCAATACAATCTCAGATTTTTCCAGATGCATAAACAAATCTGTGTACTTGAGCATTAAGCTAAGTAATTTGCCTTGGAGACTGAAGTACCCAGATTTACACATGTAGTTCAGAAGTGGACCCAAAAAACAGGGTTGTAAGTTTTGCAGTTGAGAATTGTACTGTCATCAAATAGCATGCCTGCCAGGTAGCACCCCCTGCTGGCCAAGCATGGTGCTATAGTGCCCTGCCTCGGTGTCCCCTTGTCTCAGGACATTTTCAGAATGCCACACACTTCAAAAGTTAAGAAAAAAATTCCCCTTCTGGGGTTTTACTTTATCAAATTCAAATAAAGTTGAAATGAAAGCTCTCTGGCCTGTAGTGTCTCCCTTTGGCTTCAGGAGGTTGAAAAAAAAACAAAAAAACCAACAAAACAAAACACAAACCACCACCCACTGTTCTTGGGGCCCATTTCCAGACTCTCAGGAGCTCACCACTTGCTTCTTTCAGGAACTCCTTCAACCATTCTCTGTGCAATTCTTTCCCCTACCTCCAGGGACTGCGAAACACCCACAGGTAGCAGTCCTCCCATCTGGCACTATCTGCCCTGTTCTGAGGGAAGAGACAAAATATATACAGCCTTCTTCCCAGAGATCATTTGGATTGGCTGGGAGAGAGGAGATCCTTGCCCCACTACAAGGCTCCTGGTCCCAGACTCTTAAAGAAACAGTAGCCAAGCATTAACTATTCTCCTGTGACCATCTTCCTCTCTCTCCCAACAAGAAGATCTGACCTTCCCTAGGTCTTCATCCACTCTAAAATTCCCAGGAATCTTAAAGGGATACTCCATGGAACTAAGCGTTGACTGACCATTAGGCATTACTACCCTTACAGGGCCCATCACCCTGTTACAACCCCAAAAGGGCCAGCCTTTTGAAAAGAATAGGAGTACTTGTGGCACCTTTTTCCTACCCCCCCCCCCAGATGTTCTGGTTTAACTTGGATTTAAACTTGGAGAGTGGTCAGTTTGGATGTGCTATTACCAGCAGGAGAGAGAGTTTGTGTGTGTGGTTTTGGGGAGGGGGGTGAGAGAACCTGGATTTGTGCAGGAAATGGCCCAACTTGATTATCATACACATTGTGTAAAGAGTTGTCACTTTGGATGGGCTATCACCAGCAGGAGAGTGAATTTGTGGGGGGGGGGGGTGGAGGGTGAGAAAACCTGGATTTGTGCTGGAAATAGCCCAACCTGATGATCACTTTAGATAAGCTATTACCAGCAGGACAGTGGGGTGGGAGGAGGTATTGTTTCATATTCTCTGTGTGTATATAAAGTCTGCTGCAGTTTCCACGGTATGCATCCGATGAAGTGAGCTGTAGCTCACGAAAGCTCATGCTCAAATAAATTGGTTAGTCTCTAAGGTGCCAAAGTACTCCTTTTCTTTTTGCGAATACAGACTAACACGGCTGTTACTCTGAAACCTTTTGAAAAGGTGATCCTTTGTATGCTCCTTTGAGTCCGATTCTTAATAAGCAGAAGCTTCATAAACATATTGTTCCTTCTTTTTCCCCATAAGTATGTGAGCAGCTCAGCCCAGAATTTGGCTGGCCTTTGCATAAATCAGTTCCTTTGATTGGCATTTTAGATGAGTGAGTGAATTAATCTAATATTCTGAGTGGATTATTGAAAGAGCTTTACTTGACAAGTGATTTATTTTTTAAAAAAAGAAGACTATAAGTCATTGTAAAATAACAAATAAGCAATTCTTTAACTAAATTAGATAACATTTTCCATTTACCACAACATTTTATACTAATCTGTTATGGAGAGAGTTGCTTGCTTTCTGCGATGATGGGGACAAGAGGCTCAAACAAGGTAAAAAGACTCAAAGATCCAAAACCCTGGACTCAAAGAAAGAATGTCTGGCCTGTTGTCTGTTTTGATTAATGAAGCCTTTTACATAGTAAGATAATGTGCTTTCTGAACATGCAATGCTATTGCTCAGCAGAAATATCTGGAGTATGAATAATAGCCAATATGATAACATCAATAAACTAATCTATGTAAAACTGCATTCTGCCCTCAAATGATATTTGTTTATATGATAATTGCCAGCAACTCGGATGCACTTCTCAGCAAGTTCAACAAGTGCTCCAAGCTACAAGGATTTGAAACAAAAGGAAATACTTGGACAGTCTTGCAGTTTAGCAAAGTTAGGCATGAATGTAATAAGATTCTATAGCTAATTCCAGCTAGCGTCACAAGAGGTGAAATGTTTCTTTTCACACTGTATAAAGTCATAAACATGGATGACATCAACCTTTACGCAGGACCATAAAGCAAAAGGATTTTAAAATTTCGAAAGCCATTTTTATTTCTGTAGCATGCCTTGTCAAAGCAAAGGGTAGCAATTCATAATGTCCTAATAGAGCAAATCAACAAAAACATTGCACTAGCAGTTGCAATATGCAATCAATCATTTCAGTTAAATTAAATTAAATTAAAAAGAGCCAATTATCTTGAATGAGACAGATTATTCTGTGTTCAGCAAGAATTCCTGCTCATTCCCCCAATTTTATTTTTACTTTTGGTGGAGATGTAAAACTGAAGCCCTGACCACTTGTGATTATTAAAAAGCCCAGAGCACTTTTCATAAGAGTGTTAACTCCAGAGTCCTGGCCTGATTTCAAGTAGGGTTATAATTACATTCTGCCTCATTGAATTCTCCATCTAGTTTCAAGTGGACAAAGAGGTCTTCACTTCCTGTCTTAACTGTTGCTCTGTGTTTCTGTGTGCTGTTAAGCAGCCGCTGCCACCTACCATGGCAATGACTGCATTTCATTGGTGGGTGAATCAGTCAGTCATTTGGAGGAAAGACAGCAAGCAAATGTAAGATATTATTAAATTTATTAAAATGTGTTTGTACCAACCTTAGCCCGAGGAAGCCTTGGTCCTCTGGATGCTATGGTAACATATATTTAATAATAAATAACCAGTCCAAATAAAAAACCTGAAGTATGAGCTGTCTGTCGTAGAGGCTTAGGAACATGCCAGCTGCAATAGACTGAGAAACTCCAATACTGCACTTTTAGAATTTTTTCTAGGGTAAAGTTCTTCCTAAAATGTTTCAGATCTGTCTTTTGAGTGGTAGAGAATATTTGTATAGGTTGAATGATCACTTAGTGAATGATCAATTATATGTTGCGTAGCCATCATGACTAGCCATAACCCACTGCTTTATATAATTCATAATATGTCATCTTCCAATAATTTTATTTTCACATATGAAACCAGAGGTAGCTGAAAGCATATGGGAAGCGTAGAGTACCACATTACTCTCAAATAGCTTCTAGTGAAGGATCCAAACCATCATTAAGTCACAGTGGAGACAGCCATGCCTGTCAACAGAGAAGTCAGGTGTTGCAATGCAACAATGAAATATACACACAGAGGAGATTTAGGCCCCAATTCATCAAGGAACTTAGGCATGTGTCTAACTTTAAGCACACAAGTAGTCTTACTGAAGCAGAAAAGATTTCATTGGGACTACTCACTTGCTTAAAGTTAGGCACATGCTTAAGATTTGTGTGTAATCTGGCTGCTCATTTTCCCCATTAAGACCTTACCTCATCAAGGAACTTAATTCCAAGGGATGGGAGGAAAGGAAAGAAAGTGTTTCAAATATTTGTTCAAATACATAACATATCTGAACTCTTAAAGATGGTGGCCACAGCCCAGAATGAAGGGGGTGACGTGAAGGCTCTATTACTATGGAAAGAAGTAATTCTGGGCTATGAGAAAGTTTTCCTTAGCAAACTTCAGGGGCTAGTTGAGACAGGGTTAAGGGACAGATTATCTGGTGAAGGGTTAGTCAGGGGAAAAGAAAATAAATACTGTTGTGACAGCTAGTCTACCTGGTTATGAAAGATTAGCATAATACTGTTAGTTTCGGGGATAATTGGTAAATAGCAGGCGTGCAATAGGTATCAATGGGATCTTTAAATTTTCTTCTCACTGGTTCATGAGTAATAGAAGGGAACATAGTCCATAAGAGGTTACACCT